TATGTTGGAAACTGGTCTATAATTTTTCAGTTCAGTACAGTCAAGTTCCGGTTTCTTCAGAATAGGGCGAATTATAGCCTCTTTGAAGGTTGTCGGTACTGAAGATCCAGATAATGATTTGTTATTATCACTGTTATTAAGGGAAGCAACTCTTCAATGCATAGTTTAAGTAAAGATGTTGGGATTGGGTCATTCTCACAAGACTTAGTTGCTGCTCCCATGATGATATCATAGATCTCCTTATTTGTGGCTTCAGTGAACACAACAGGTTTCTGACCCACATATTGAATATCACTCTTTAGTGCCTCACTAACATTAACTAGCTTAGATTTACTAAGTTCAGATCTGATCGTTTCAATTTTTCCAGTAAAAAACTCAAAAAATTTATTTGCTAACATCTGTTTGCTGTCATGTGCTGGAAAGACAGTCTCCTTAACCTTCCCCATGAGATTGTTAGTTAGGTTATATAGTTGTTTTTGGTCATGTCCAATTTCTAATATCTTTGTGGAGTAGAAATCCTGCTGCGATTGCAGCAGCAGTTTTGAATAATCGGTACACAATTGTCTGTAGATTTGCTTGTGTATAGTTAAGTCAGTTTCACGCATCTTCCGCTCTGCTTTTCTATACGAGCCTGATTGGCTGCTTTTAAGTTGGCGTTATACCATGGTGTTTTTGGTCTTATGGTTATTTCTTTTGTCTGAACAGGTGCGTGGCTGTCAAGGATACATTTAAGACTGGTGTTATATGTCATCACTAATTCATCAATCTGCATGTCCATGTTTTGCTGACTGACTGATGAAGAAATGTCTTTCTTAAATTCATCAATGTTAATCTCTCTTAACTTCCTGAAAGACACAGTTTTTCGTTCAGGCTTTGGTTTAGAGATTTGAATCAGAGCATGAACAGCATAATGGTCTCCTGCAGGATTTCCTCTGTTATCACACAAAACTGGGTCACTGATCGTCAGATCAGTTTTACATAGAAATATATAGGAAAAATCTGTCCTCCCCACTGGGCCAGAAAAGTAATCATGACGTCCAAGGTATGGCCATGGACATGAAATATATAGGAAAAATCTTTGCACTCTTTGGGAAAGTCCATGATCATTTAATATTTTCATGAACGTCTTATATTGAAAAATCAGAGTCACTGGGACATTCTTGAGATGGAAAATTGTTTAAATCATGGTCACCAAGTAATATATATAGGAAAATTCCTTCTTCGCAAGAATAATCCGATTGTCAAAATGTCTTAAATTTTGACCATTCCTCAAAGAAGGTCGACTTTCGATAATTATTTCCTTTTGATGGGGAAGGGCGATAAATAGCACACAAACGAGAACTTAGCAGTTTGGCATCCCTGTGACACAATCCATGTGTTCAAAATGTGTATACTGGGTTTCTGGTTTGATAGGTCGTATATCGATGTTTCGTTTGTAGATAATAGCTAGTCCGCCCCCTTCTTATGTTTCCTAGGTAGGTGAGTAGTTGAATAACCAACCGGTGTCATTTCTGCTATAACACATTTATCTGTATCGCTACCAACTATCCTTACATAGTTCCTTGTTGCTTTGCTCCTAATTTATATTGTTTAATTGACTTTTGAGCTTGAATTATGTTCGTATTCTCCATATATTTCATTGATATAAATAGTTAGACCATTATTTGATATACCTCTAAAAACATCAGAGGAGGGATCGGGTGCCATGGAGGAGTGAGCATCCCCTGTTGATCTGTCACAACCGCTTTGTGCTCCTTGTCGTGATCGGAAAATATCGGAAAACCCGGCGGAAATTCAGTGTGCATATACTGGCTTAACAATAAGTATTCAGTCAGCATAAGTCTTCATGATAAATTGTATTTGTCGACAAGGTCACTGTATCGACAATGAAATTTACGAAATGGGGACGTAAAACAAGACAGCTGATATTCTTTCAGCAACTTGTATGTCCATAACTTACCTAGCTCGTTTTAAAATTTGTTCATACACGTGTAGAATATGCTCTTGCGCATCAAATCAGCCGAGAGATATAAACAATGTATGCATTTGAAGAAGGTTAATTTCTGTATAAGTAAGGAAAGTTGAAAAGTTAACATAGTATATCGTATGGACATAAGAATGGAAATAACCATAATGATTATTAATCGACAATACGTAGTCGATATATCTGAATGTCGACTTGCATGTCAAGTGTTTTCTTCTATTCAGTCGTTTAAGATTTGGGACGAATTCTGCTTCATATGAATACAAAAATACGTCAACAGACATTTTGTCTAAAACAGTTTGTTGGCAACAAAGTCATATCAAATATCACTTACTAATATCAAATATTACTTTAAACGATTTTTAGCTCACCTGAGCTGAAAGCTCAAGTGAGCTTTTCTGATCACATTTTGTCTGTAATCCGTCTGTCCGTCTGTCTGTAAACTTTTCACATTTTCGACTTCTTCTCAAGAACCACTGGGCCAATTTTAACGAAACTTGCCACAAAGCATCCTTTGGTCAAGGGAATTCAAATTTGTTCAAATGAAGGGCCAAGCCCTCTTCCAAGGGGAGATAATTATGAATTAATGAAAAATTAATGGTATCTTTTAAAAATCTTCTTCTCCAGAACTACTGGGCCAGGAAAGATGAAACTTATGTGGAAGCATCCTCAGGTAGTGTAGATTCAAGTTTGTTCAAATCATGACCCCCGGGGGTAGGGCGGGGCCACAATGGCCGACCAAAGTTTTACATAGAAATATAAAGGAAAATTCTTTAAAAATCTTCTTCTCAAGAATGTCATAGCCATAATTGATCATATTTATATGGAAGCATCCTCAGTTAGTGTAGATTCAAGTTTGTTCAAATCATGACCCCCCGGGGTAGGGCGGGGCCACAATCGCCGACCAAAGTTTTACTTAGAAATATATAGGAAAATTCTTTAAAAATTTTCTTCTCAAGAATGTTAAAGCCATAATTGATCATATTTATGTGGAAGCATCCTCAGGTAGTGTAGATTCAAGTTTGTTCAAATCATGACCCCCGGGGGTAGGGCGGGGCCACAATGGCCGACCAAAGTTTTACAGAGAAATGTATAGGAAAATTCTTTAAAAATCTTCTTCTCAAGAATGACAAAGCCATAATTGATCATATTCATATGGAAGCATCCTCAGGTAGTGTAGATTCAAGTTTGTTCAAATCATGACCGCCCGGGGTAGGGCGGGGCCACAATGGCTGACCCAAGTTTTACATAGAAATGTATAGGAAAATTCTGTATTAATCTTCTTCTCAAGAATAGCAAAGCCATGATTGTTCATGGGACTACCTTTTGATTTAAACTCTTTAATAATGAACCAATTTCTATTTTTTCCTAGCCACAGTGTTCAGGTGAGCGATGTGGCCCATGGGCCTCTTATTTAAAATAATTACAGAAATGTGCTATAAAAAAGATGGAATGAGATTTAAATATAAAGGGAGTAGATTTGATCCTCTTAACATTAAAACGGTATTAAAACCAAAGCGAATACTAGTATTGCCAACCTTCAGAAATATGTTCTCCTTGGCGTGGATTTCATCATTCGATTGCACTTAGAACTACGATGACTTTTATTGAAAGTATCTGGCTTTATAAAAATGAATGACTTAATTTATTGATAAAAATTTGGTTTCCATGTACTGGTTTATTTTTATAATTATATTTAGAGTCGTCATTTCGTTATTTCTATGGTCTACACAATGACCTTGTCAGCCAATACCATAATTTATCATTAAGTCAAATGCTGACTGACGTTTTTCATACTAAACATGCCACTTGTTAGGCCATCATTTACACACTGAGTTGTCAACGGATCAACAGATCATTCCCTTATTTCCCGAATATGACGAGGGAAATACGGCGGGTGGGACCGGTCGGCAGGGGATGCTCACTCCTCCATGGCACCTGATCCCACCTCTGATATTTAAGAGGTCTGTGTTTCCTCCGCTCCTATTTTGTAATGTTTTATGGACTTTTGAGCTCGAATAATGTTATTCATCTCCACTTAGTTCATTTTTCGTGGATTTAAACCATCAACCTTTCTACCTAGAGGTAGTTATCGTCATTTGTCTGCATATCTGCAAACGTTCACAATGGGACCTTTTCTCACCTTTAGGGACATGTTACCAAGGTGACCATTCACACATACTATGCATCTTTTTTGTCAGATTAGACCACGGTATCAAAAACGTGTATCATATAGAGTTTGGAAAAATTCTGAGACTTCGTGTACCACAGCTTCTAGTCAAAAAACGTCCTTCCATTGAAACCTTAAGGTTCTTAATTTTTTTTTCAGTTCAGATTTGACGCATTTCTTCACCAAGCATGTTTAGGTACTTTAAAACAGCGTATTAATCGCCTAAACCTGTCAATAACCGTTAGGGGACCTGTGAGTTAGGTACATCACGTTTCATTTCGATTGTCATTATGTCAAAAGAAAATATTTTTTTCCAAACCGATTAAAACATTTCATGATACTTTAATTCAGTACAATTACGTACGTTCTAGGCACGTTTTTAATAAAAGCGTTCTCGACACAGCGTTTTCAAAAACAGCATAACATGATTTTGATGATAAAAAATCAAATAATGTTAGAATTGAAATATTATGATATTTTGTTATTCAAACAACATGTGCGTCTGTGTGTGTCAAACAACATGTGCGTCTGTGTGTGTGTGGGGGGGGGGGGGGGGGGCTTTGTTTATTTGTTAGACGTGTTACAAAAATGTTTTAATTTGTTTTAAAATTTGTCTGATATTGCAAATTGTTTTAAACATGTTTTTAAAAGCGGGCTTTTTTTTTTTTTATACATGTACATACTATATATTTACATTAACTTCCAGTGCCCGTGAATAAAAACATATTTTTTCAGCTTTTGTTGTGATACTTTGAACGCTCCATACTTTCCTGTTTGAAAAATCCCGAGAACTTCCGATCGAATCTTGAATGGCATAGGGCGATAGGGTTATGGCAAAAGATGTGAAAGAGGTGTATTGATTTTCATTTGAAGGGTTTAAATTTTAAAAGGTGAGACCATGAACAGAAAAATACATACAACAAGTTAATAATAAAGCGCATAGTGTTTCATAGAGATAAATACAATGTCAAGAAAGCAAAACAAACAAGGATATCTCTCACATTATGCGTAACTTGACCTGTTTACCTGTTTGCGTTTTTAAACTTTACACTTCGTCCTAAAAATTGAAACGAAAGATTATAAGGTCAAATGTCATTTATTATAGTTATTTTATAATCCCAATAATATGGTAAAAGTTAAGTGATGTGTGCATGTAATGTAATCTGTAATCAAATAATCAGGCGAAAGATAGGCCCTATTGAATTATCAGGCCTATATAGCTTGTGTGTGACTCAAGGGAAGTAATCCAACCTGACTGCAAAATAAAATATTTTGTATACAAAGAATGTGCTTGTTAAAGATTTAAAACTAATTTCACAAAATTTCGGTATATCATGACTTATATGTTGCTGTAACATTTCACACGGAACTATAATGAACATTATGAAAATAAAAACTTAGTAGTAGGAAAGGAGAAATGCATGAAGAAAACATATGGCTTGACCGGGAATCGAACCAGGGATCCTGCATTACTAGTCAGGTGCTCTAACCACTGAGCTATCCAGGCCGATATCCACGGTCCGGAAAGCCCGAACTTCTACATTCCTCCCTCCTTAAACAGTCTTCGACCACAAAGACACAAGTTCTAGGGCCCTGCCAGGAATTACTAATTTACACATACACTGTAACCTGAATAAAGCCCCCCACACTGGCCACCAAATGTAGTAGGAAAGGAGAAATGCACGAAGAAAACATATGGCTGGACCGGGAATTGAACCCGGGACCCCTGTATTACTAGTCAGTCGCTCTAACCACTGAGCTATCCAGGCCGATATCCATGGTCCGGAAAACCCAAACTTCTACACTTATAAACTCAGCAATAAGGAAAATAGAAACTCAATATGACTTTAAATTTTACCACCCTCCCCCCTTATGTATAAGACACACAAAAAGAATAACACACATCTAATAATTCATTTTTCAAAAGATAATTTAAGGGGGTAGTAGAAAATGGGTGTATTACATGAGCAGAATTAAATGCCTTCATTTTTATCAAAGCTACTTAAGTATAAAATATATGAAAAGCTGTGAAATCTTGAAATCATTTCATAGACTAATTCATTATGATGACCCTCAGATTTTCAGGCATGCTGAATCTGACACCTGTCTGTATCCGTTGCCAGCCTATCTTTGGACTTTCCCTTCGCTTGTGTAGCTCAAAGACAGGAAGTCACTACAAAGATGTTCACCTGCCTGATTATAATACGTCTGTGGACATTAACAGTCATCGTCTGACACGCCCACAAAAGCCTCCCCCCACACCGAAATGGGAGGGACTCCAGGCCCTGGCAGAAAGAACCAAGGTTTGTTGAGAGAATTGTAGCAGGTACTAATGTACATAATTTGACATTATCTTAAAATTATAATACATGATTTTAAAGTCCTTTTTATGAATTCAAGTTCTGAAAAATGGTAACTTGCTGGTAAATATCAAAGCATTGCAGTAATGTGGATACACGTATATCAGTCTGGGGAACGGAAAACAACAAATTGGAAAATTTTGATGAGAAATTAATTTTAAAATATGCCATTTTTTAAATAAAAATTGTTAAAATTAGTAAAAGAATTTTTAAAAGGCCCTCAGAAAGACTAATAAAAGAATACTATAGGCAAAGAGTCACAGTTTTAACATTTTAAGTAGAACCTTGTAAATTGAACATCTTTGAACAATAACGTCATTTGACTTCACCTTATGCCAAGGGTTCATGAGGAAAGTTGCGTATCAGAAACCCTTGACTAGCGAAGATGTTGTTATGTTTATTTTTATCAGTTTGCTATATTCATTATCTATCATAAGTATGTTATTTTTGTTAGTGTTTTATATTTCACACTCATTTATTAGGGTTCACTAATACCAGAGACATTGAAGGCCATGGATGAGGATGAAGACTTCAAATTGACAGCCGCAAAAATCAAAGAAATGGGGACCAAGAAAATGACGAGAGAGGAGAGAAAGCGCCGACAGAGAGCTCTGACTGATTTAAATGTTCCAGACTTTGAGACATTCTGGAAACTGAAGAGGGCAGAAAATGAGGCACAAGGTAATAGACATTTATTTCATTTAGAAAACACATAAAAAATCATCATTCTCTGTCCTGTTTTACAACATACATGATATATATTTCAAAACCTATAAAGTTTGTAAAATTTGGTTTTATCATGGTTTGCATTGATACCTACTATGTAGCTATTAATTTTTCAAAGAAAAACAGTTGTGAAAGAAGAGAAAATGTGCTTACATTTGATTTTTAGTCTACTTTATTAAGAAATGTCCATATCTCAGGAGCAGACAAGGAGGATGCATTAAATAAAAAGACCATAGAGATCCTGCAGGCCAACATAGGACTGTATTGTAACCAGGCCTGTAACCACTGTCATGTGGAGTCCTCACCACGCCGCAAAGAAATGATGAGCCGCGAAGTCGCAGATAGATGTCTGGACATCCTAAAGAATAGTCCCTCAATCCACACCCTAGATCTCACAGGTAAAACATTTGAAAAGTCAGACAGAATATCCAAAATAATCCCTCTATCCACAACCTAGATCTCACAGGAAAATCAAAAGGATAGTCAGACAGAATATCCAAAATAATCCCTCTATCAACACCCTAGATATCACAGGTAAATCACCAGGATAGTCAGATGGAATATCCTAAATAGTCCCTCAATCTACACCCTAGATCACACTGGAAAATCTCAAGGGTAGTCAGACAGAATATCCAAAATAGTCCCTTAATCCACACCCTAGATCTCACAGGTAAATCACCAGGTTTGTCAGACGGGAAAAATAGTCCCTCTTCCCATATACAGGATCTCCTAGATAGGTTGCTGTAGAACTTTGGTTGATTAAATTGAGATTTGTTATGCCCCGCCATGAAAATGGCCGGGGCATACAGTGTTTGCCATGTCCGTCTTCCGTCCTTCCGTCCTTCTGTCCTTCCGTCACACTTTGCGTTTAGCTCTGTTCAAAGCTAAGTTTCAAAGAAACTATCCAAGATATTTTCATCAAACTGCATATGCTGATAGATATTGATGAGAGCTATGCAACTGCATCAACATTTTTTGACCTTGACCTTTCCTTTGACCTTGACCTCACTTTTCATAAATTAGTGTTTAGCTCAGTTTTAAACATTCCATTCAAGATGGTGTTATCAAATTTCACATGTTGATACAAACTTGCACAGATGATGCATCCAGGGATGAACACTACAAGACTTGCTTCGGATGCTGGATCTGACCTATATTTTCTAGATGAGTGACCAGGTTAAAGTTTTTGGAGCAGGTTCATTCCTAAGGAACTATAAGCTCTACTTGGACCAAACTTGCATGGATGATGCATCTAAGGATGGACACGACCAGACTTGCTTCGGATGCTGGATCTGACCTACATTTTCATTCCAAAGTAACTATAAGCCCTTTTTGTACCAAACTTGCATGGATGATGCATCTAGGGATGGACACTACCAGACTTGCTTCGGATGCTGGATCTGACCTATATTTTCATTCCCTAGTAATTATAAGCCCTGCCTGAACCAAACTTGCATGGATGATGCATCTAGGGATGGACACTACCAGACTTGCTTCGGATGCTGGATCTGGCCTATATTTTCATTCCCTAGTAATTATAAGCTCTGCCTGAACCAAACTTGCATGGATGATGCATCTAGGGATGGACACTACCAGACTTGCTTCGGATGCAGGATCTGACCTACATTTTCATTCCCAAGTAACTATAAGCCCTGCCTGAACCAAACTTTCAAGGATGATGCATTTAGGGATGGACACTACCAGACTTGCTTCGGATGCTGGATCTGACCTACATTTTCATTCCCTTGTAACTATAAGCCCTACCTGGCCCAAACTTGCATGGATGATGCATCTAGGAATGGACACTACCAGACTTGCTTCGGATGCTGGATCTGACCTACATTTTCATTCCAAAATAACTATAAGCCCTACCTGAACCAAACTTGCATGGATGATGCATCTAGGGATGGACACTACCAGACTTGCTTCGGATGCTGGATCTGATGTATATTTTCATTCCCAAGTAACTATAAGTCCTACTTGAACCAAACTTGCATGGGTGATGCATCTAGGGATGGACACTACCAGACTTGCTTCGGATGCTGGATCTGACCTACATTTTTATTCCCTACTAACTATAAGCCCTACCTGAACCAACTTGATCAAATTTAATTCACATACAAATTTTCATGTTGCTTTACTAAGATATTCTCGGCGGGGCATTCATGTCCTATGGACATATTTCTAGTTGTTGATGTATTTTATTCTAAACATCCTTGATACAGCCAAATTTTCTGCTTTTCATGATTTAGTTTTTAAACAGACATATAAAAAAAATTATAAAATTTTTTAGATTATATAATTTAAATGCGCAAAAAACTTGGAAAGAAGACCTTGGAAAATGTTTTTTGTTTTAATCATTATTTGAAATACTTGTTTATGTGTCTTACAGGAGGTGCCCCCGAGCTGTTAGATGAGTTTAGATACCTGGTTAGAGGGGGTCGAGAACTGGGGAAGAATATTATAGTAAGGAGTAACCTCACTGTACACACAGAACCTGGTAGGTAATTAGAGTGACCTCCCTTTGTAGTCTGATGATCAGTCTGAAGCATTGTTAATCAACAATTATCTCCTCTTTTTACATTTTAGAGTTTGAATAAGTTATTAATTTTTTAAATCTGGAAAATTAAATTTAAATAAAATTTAAATCATACCATTACTATAATGCAAATAAAGTTCTTTGAATTAGTTTTTGAGCTGGTTTGATTGTTTGACAGGTCAGGAGGACACGGCAGAGTTTATGAGGGACCACCAGGTGAACATTGTAGCCTCCCTGCCCTGCTACACAGCTAAGAACGTCAACCAACAGCGGGGGAAGGGTGTTTTTGATCGGAGCATACAGGCCCTGATCAAGTTCAACTCCCTGGGGTACGGAGAGGAGGGCTCAGACCTAAAACTGGACCTGGTCTATAATCCTCTCGGTAAGTAGGTCAGGGACATTCTTTTTTTTTCTGTGTAAAAGTATCACCTGGATACTTTGTAATATATGCCAAAGAAGCACTAATTTTCAAAAAGTTGAATGAATGGTCATTTTTAAAAAAAACTTAGGAGGCGTTGATTTTTGTTGTTTCAAAAATAACTCTATTCAATTTATGGTCACATATAATAAAAAAAAATTGTGTGTGATTTAATTTTGTTGATAATTGTTTACCAAAAAAAATGAAATGAAATTCTCAACAAATATTACTCGTTGTACAGTATACATTTATATTTGAATTTATGAACAAAAATGCCCTTTAAGGGACTGTACTGTGTACATAGAATACATGTAAAAAAAAAAATTGTTTGTGCAAGAGAAAAAAACATTAATTTTGTAGACAATTCATTACATGTATGGATCATTCAACAAAGGTCAGATTCAGAGTCACATACTAGTATTCAATTTTTATAATTTTCAGTTAATATTGCTAATAATTATTACAACAACAAAATTAAAATACCAAGTTTAAAAAAAAAAAAGGAAACATTTTCTTTTTCATAACTTTTGTAAACCAAAAGAAATATTTCAGGTGGTCACCAAGTTAAAGCTGTTTGATCCAATCTATAAAAGTTAATATTTTCCACCATTATTCATTTCTTTCTTTTCTAAAATAACACATTCTTGTTCCTACATTTAAATGTACCATGTAAATGTATACTTATTTAATAGAAAAAATACAAATAATCAAGTAACATAAGAGTTATTGCCCTTTGCACCATTGTTTATTTAAAAAAAATGATTTAATGATTCTCTTTATTAGTTTACTGACTCTACAAAAGAAATATTTTTATAGGGCACTAAGTTTTAATGACAAATATTGCTAAAACCTATGATGTCATTGGAGGGTAGCGATTTACATTAAGTACAAGCCAGAACAATCTAGCACAAATGTCTTTTATTCATTTCAATTTTGAAGCTTGAAAGTCTGCATAAATAAGAAACCTTACCGCCGTGGGTGTGATCGGCCGGCAGGAGATGCTCACTCCTCCATGGCACCTGATCCCACCTCTGATGTTTTGGAGGTCTGTGTTTGCTCTGCTCCTCATTAAAAATTTGTAATGTTTAAAGGACTTTTGAGCTAGAAAACTGTTCGTTACAGGTCTGTTAATAAGAAAGATATTCATTTTATTTTTCAATAACTGTAAAATGCATGATTCTCTATGATGTAATGGTGATGAGTTGGAATCAATCTAATTAAAATTAAATGTTAGATCCGCTTGCATACTCGCTATACTAACATCTAACAATATCCCATTGAGGGTCACGTCAGAATTCAAACTCTATCAACCAATCAAATCGTCACCTGCAAAATCATCGTATATTGTTGAAGCGAATAAGTCTAGAGCTGTTCCGAATTTGACCTCTGACGTGACCCTCTGTGGGATGTTGTTAGATATTAGTGTAGCGACTATGCAAGTGGATCTAACATCTAATTTTAATAAGATTGAGTTCGAATATAACTTGTATAAAAGGTTATAACTATGACAGACCTGTTTACTCTTACGATTTCGCCGTATTTTTTACGGATTTTTAATCTAAAATACGTCTCACGTTTTGCCATTATGAAAATACGGAAATCAGAAACAAGTTAGTTTGGAATTTAACAGTTAGTTTTCGTGATGATCTGTCGTAGATTTACTTTATTTATCGCTAAATAAGAGAAAGATTTCAAACACCTAAGCGATATCAAGTTGCCAAAACGCTATGGTATTATAAAATGACCTTGTTGTTAAACAATGTTTTAGTAGCCAGAAAAGCAGTTTTTCTCTTTTAATATATGTAAAATTGATGGAAAGTGAAATCTTACTGGCAAATGCCAAATCTCACGGACAAATCTTAAGAAAAATACTGAGAGACAACGTTATGGGTAAACAGGTCTGCTATGATGACTTTGTTTAACAAGTACTTATATGGTAACCTGTATCAAACTGCCATCCTTAATGTTTTATCAGCCTGTTACTGCTGATGACAGGTGCCTTTCTGCCCCCACCCCAGGGAAATATTTTATCAGCCTGTTACTGTTGATGACAGGTGCCTTTCTGCCCCCACCCCAGGGATATATTTTATCAGCCTGTTACTGTTGATGACAGGTGCCTTTCTGCCCCCACCCCAGGGATATATTTTATCAGCCTGTTACTGTTGATGACAGGTGCCTTTCTGCCCCCACCCCAGGGATGTATTTTATCAGACTTTTACTGTTCATGACAGGTGCCTTTCTTCCCCCACCCCAGGGACCCCTGGAGGACAAGTACCGCCAAGAACTAATGGAGTTCTTTGGAATCAGGTTTAACCAGCTCTTCACAATTACCAACATGCCAGTCAAACGTTTTGCAGACTTCCTCTATCGAAGGTAAATATGAAACTTCCTTTTGTATAGAGGGTAAAAGAATTACATACATGTATACAGTAAAACATGCCATAGTGAAGATCAAAAGACAAACAGTTCTTATTCATGCTAGAACTTATTTGTTATATCTGATGAATTTATAAAAGGTTTAATCAAGTAAGAAAATCTGGCTAAGAGCATGCATTACCTACATTTGAACAATTTAGAATCCCTATCTATTTTTATGTGTAATTTCTGCAGCAGTACCTTACCTTAGAAGAAGGGAGGGCATATTGCTTTGCTAGTGTTGGTCAGTCTGTCTGTCTGTCCACCATCAGTTTCCATTCATTTTCTCCACAGAGATCACACATATTAAAATGAAATTTGGTAAACAGTTTTAAGGATATCTAGGTCAAGTTCTGTTTTGGGCATGCTCGAGCATTTTTTGACAGTTATGTCCTAAACTTTAAAAATTCCAATTATTTGCTACTGAGAAATAACCCCTATTTATTTTAAGTTCAAAAGGTCAATTTCATTTTCATGCATAATATTCTTTGCACATAATAAAGGCTTGTGCACCCTATAATGTATTCCATGGGAGAGAGGGAGGTGGGAATAAGAGTTTTACAAACATCTCCTGGTTTTTTTTTTGTCATTTAGAAATGAGCTGGTGAGTTATATGGAGTTGCTGGTCAGGAACTATAACATCCACACGGTAGACCACCTGATGTGTCGTAATCTACTGAATGTAAACTGGAATGGCAAGATTTACGACTGTGACTTCAACCAGCAGCTGGAGATGGGAATAACCAAGGACACAGCTAAAGGTACCACACCCAACCCATACCCACCACATATAGTGATTGAACACACACATCCCCACCCCGTCCCCATGACATCTAAAGATAATAAACATCCCCATCCCATCCCCATAACCATGATAATATCTAAAGGTAAAACAACACCACCAATCCATCCAACCACAAGGAAAATGCTAAAAGTATTCAACCTCAATCCATTCACCCCACATCTAAAGATACCCCCCTCCCCATCCTCCACCCCAAGTCCCACCCCCATAACATCTAAAGGTAAAATAAACAGCAACCCATCTGTAAACTTTTCACATTTTAAACTTCTTCTTAAAAACCACTGGGCTAATTTTAACCAAAGTTAGCACAGAACATCCAGGTGAAGAGGAATGTAAATAATTAAAATGAAGGGCCAATTCCACTTACAAGGGGAGATAATCAAGAAAAGACAAAAGCATTGGGGTCATTCAAAATCTTCCTCTCAATAACAAATGGGTCAGTAAAACCTAAACTTATGTGGAATCTTCCTGGGGGTGATGTGATGACCCCAGGGGTAGGATAGGGCCACAATAGGGAATCCAAGTTTGACACTGAAATATATACTAGGCAAAATCTTTAAAAATCTTCTTTAGAACCACTGGGCCAGAAAAGTTGAGGGTTGGGTCATTATATGTATAAAGGGTGGGAATTTGGAGAAAAACAGCAGGGCTAAAGTAACTCAGGAGAGCATTATGGCCCATCAACCTCTAGAAATATTGACTGTTGTGTATGTTGCTGATAATTGGATGATTTTATCAAAGAAAGACTGATGTTTATGTATGGGCATTATTTTCAGATTCCATGACAGTGTTTGACATTTCGTCTGCCCAGGAGTTGGAGGGGGTACACATACAGACAGACAGTCACTGTTTTGGTTGTACGGCAGGGATGGGGTCCAGCTGACAGGGGGTGGTGGTGTAAGGGATACAGAAGCTTCCACTTCTCCTTTATGCATTGATGCATCCTATTGTATTGTTTCTATTCAGCTGAAAAATTTCTAACAAATTAACACTTTCTAGATATGCATGATATTACGACTGAAGGAATATATTTACGATACATGTATGATTGAGATTCTTACCATATGAAAATTGAGATTTGTTCAAAATAAATGGGTATGTTTAAGTGAACCTACAACCAGCTCTCAGGTCATTTTTTGTTTCAAATGCACAACAATTGTTACAGGGTACTTAAAAATTGCTGGTTGAATTTATAATTAAAACTTTATATTCTTCATGACAGTACTGGATTTTGCAGTACATTACTGAGGCCTAGCTTAGTTATGGGTCTGTAGTTCTGGTAACCAGTATGACGACTGCTGTATAAGCCTGTATAAGGAGGCAGCAGTCTGATGGAGTGTTACCATGAGTTACAAATGACTGGTAAAGATCAAATTGAACTTTTACATGTGAATGATTATGTGATTATTAGGTCACCTAGTAAACTCAGGTGACCTATTGCTATCTGTTTTCGTCCGTCGTTGTGCGTTGTGCGTTAACATTTGAACATTTTCAGCTTCTTCTCTGCAACCACTGAACCAATTTCAACCAAATTTGGCCTAAAGCATCTATGGGTGAAGGGGAACAAAAATTGTGAATTTCATGATCCCTGCCCTCCTGGGGCCTGAGGGGTGGGGCCAAAACCACTAAATTTAATGCAATCATTAAAAATCTTCTTCTTTACTCCTGGACATCAAGCAGCCAAACTGGTTGCATGATTGTAATCAGCAATGAGTCCTCTACCAAAATTGTGAAATTCATGGCCCTGGGGTCAGGGGTTCTAGTGCTAGGGCGGGGCTAAATAAGTAGGTAGTGAAAATGCATTATTTCTTTGAAAATCTTCTTCTCTGCTCCTGGGTATTAAATAAACCAACTAAACACATAGTTATGATGAGCAAGAGTGCCACTACCAAAATTGTGAATTTTATGGCCCCAGGGTCAGGGGTTCTGGTGTTAGGGCGGGGCTCTATTGATTATATAGTGAAAATACATGAATTCTTTGAAAATCTTCTTCTCTGCTCCTGGGTATTAAATAAATCAACTAAGTACATAGTTATGAAGAGCAAGAGTGCCTCTACCAAAATTTTGAATTTTATGGCCCCAGGGTCAGGGGTTCTAGTGTTAGGGCAGGGCTCTATAAATTATATAGTGAAAATACATGAATTCTCTGAAAATCTTCTTCTCTGCTCCAGGGTATTAAATAAACTAACTAAGTGCATAGTTATGATGAGCAAGAGTGCCTCTTCCAAAATTGTGAATTTGTTTGGCCCCAGGGTCAGGGGTTCTGGTGTTAGGGCCAAATATAGTGAAAATACATGAATTCTTTAAAATCATCTTTTCTGCCCTGGGTATTAAATAAACTAACTAAGTGCATAGTTATGATGAGCAGGTGCCTTACCAAAATTGTGAATTTTATGGCCCCAGGGTCAGGGGTTCTGAGGGTGAGACGTATTGATTATATAGTGAAAATACATGAATTCTTTGAAAATCTTCTTCTCTGCTCCTAGGAATTAAATAAACTAACTAAGTACATAGTTATAATGAGCAAGAATGCCTCTTCCAAAATTGTGAATTTTATAGCCCCAGGGTCAGGGGTTCTAGTGTTAGGGCGGGGCTCTCTTGATTATATAGTGAAAATACATTAAATCTTTGAAAATTTTTTCTCTGCTCCAGGGTATTAAGCAGATGTACTACCTATAGAGTTATGCTGGACAAGGGCCCATATCTTCCAGAATTGTGAATTTCAAGGCCCCAGGGTCAGGGGTACCAAAGAAGGGGGAGGGCTGTACTTATATACTGGAGGAACTTTTTCTTTCTTTTTTTTCTTTTTTTTCTTTTTTTTACTGGGCTTTTTGCGATAACAAGCATTTCTTGCAAAAGGGGCAATAACTTCGAAAGCGGTCATAGTTCATATGCGTTGGGTCAAATTTATTCCTAACTTTTAATGAATGGTTTGAAATCTGCTCCTTGGTATTAATCAAATATCAAGGCCTAAGGGTCAGGGGTTCATGTGTGGTAGGGGCACTACTGATTATTGCTGAATATTACTGATTAGTTGAAATGCATTTTTTGTTCCCTTACCCTGCATATGGGTATTAAGTAAACAAACTAAGCAACTGCTAAGTGTATTGTTATGATGATCAATGGTGCCTCTTTCAAAATTGTGAATGCCATAGCATCTGGCTTAAAACATGAATCAAATTCAATCACTGGAAAGTTGTTGCATAATGCTCAGGTGACCTATAAGGCCCATGGACCTCTTGTATTTTTAAAGATATTTATTTCTTAATTTTATTGTGAACTGTTGCATATAAGTTTTATGAAGTAACATTGACTTTTGAGTGACCATTATCCTTTGAATATGGCTAGTTGTTAAAATTGATGTCTATAATTCTTGAATGTCTGATTTCCAGGTGTTGCCCAAGTCCTTAATGTTTTCTAAATCTACAGTAGTATATATTCAATATTCAGTTGTTTTAGTGTTATGAAATGTTCAATGATTATAAATGTTTGATGATTATTTGATTAAATGTTTATACATTTGTTGAGTATTAAGAGGCTTTGGGAGATATATTGTTATTTTTTCAGCTTTATAGTTAATTTTGTTCAGTCATCTGTTCAAACTTTTAAGTAAACATTCACATTATATTTCAAAATGTATATATTTTGAAAGCAATTAATTTGTCTTTTGTCTTAAAACACTTTTGCAAAGAAGGGTTTCTATAGATTCAAGATTGCTGAAGAATACACAATGTAAATTGTAATCATCATGTTAACACTGTGATGTTTTTAAGGTATGATAAAGAAAATGAGAAATTGAATAAGACATTTTCATTTCATTTACATAAAATTTTGTACATATTTTGACACATAATGGTGGATTTTTTCCTACAGGAACGTGTAATTCGAAAAGTGATAGATATACTGTAGACGTACTTTTTTCCACGGGGTCATAATTCCGCGGAATCTCTAATTCTTTCCAATCCACTGGTAGACAATTACATGTACGCGTGTATCTTAAGACTCGATCTCTTTATAAGCACTATATTTGCAATAAGTTTGATTGAACAAATTTCCGCAGAAAATTTGTGACCGCGTACAAAGCGTAAATTAATACTACACGGGAGAAAGTACTTCTCCAGTACTATTAGATCTTCAGATTTTCATATGTTAAGATTGATATTTTGCAAGTGCAAAGGAAATTCTGTGAAATATGGAGTTAAGGAACGGAAATCAAACTCAGAAGTCCATTGAAATAATACAAATTGGGAACAGAGCAAAAACAGACAGCTAAAAATGACTACCCCCATATAAACCCCATGTGCAGGTCAAGAACCATAGGCGCTTGGGTCAAGGATACTGTATATTCTCTGTATAATGTATTGTCTAGAAAATTCAAACTATACTTGTAACATTTTTTTTTCAGTGTGCAGTGTTAATTTTTAGTTTTTTGCAAACTTTCTGCTTCATATATACTAGAATGTCACGGAAATTTGATTTTATGTACGTGTTAAAAATGACATTTCCCACTGTATACTAAAAAGTTTTCTTTTTAGTATACAGTGGGATATGTCACAATATATATATTATATTACAATACATTATATAGAGAATATACAGTATCATTGACCCAAGCGCCTATGGTAAGAACATATCGCTTCATTAATAAGGGAAGTTGATTTTTAAAAAATTGAAGTAATCACATTTATCATACACTGTAAAGCTTTGTTTGTAGGTTACCATTGATGTCTTTTTCTAGTAAAATATCCAAATATTGAACAGAGATGTAAGACTGTTATCTTTTATTCCAAGTTCAGTGTTATATCGAGTCAACATAAAAATGGAGGTAACTGTTGTATTCATTGAGAATACGTTGTCGACTTCTCTAAATGTCAAGTTGACAGGCACAAGTGTTTTCTTCTTCTTGTATAGAAGTTTCTGATTAAACTCTGCTTCATATAAATAAAAAATAATGGGGAGCCATTGGTTCCCATGGGAATTCCAACAGATCCTTTAAAGAGTCAGGTCACTTTAAAGGGATTTGCAGTCGATATGTTGTCCCTTAAGCAGCTTAAAAAGTGAGGATGGAATGGCTACTTTGGAGTACAAGAATTTGTACATCAACACAGTTTTCGCTGCCTGCCTGTTGTAATGATTCCAATCCCAGCTGCTCAATCACAGATTTGACACTGCTATTGGTTTTGTCGGCCAGCATTTACCTTGCAGCCCATCGCGATGACACTCTCCAGCTTATTGATGTATCTCTATGAATAGGGGCTCTAAAAAAGTTTATTTCGTTTGAGATCTGACCAATAATATAATCTCCTTGGTTTTCAAGGACAGAATGGTAGATTCCTCCAGAGAAAACTGATGTGAAATTTTCCTTTTTACATGCACCATCTTTTAATTTTTCTTTGGTAATTCCAGCAATGAATGTTAGTAGAAGTTATATCCAGGTACTTGGCAGTGATGTTCTTATTTAAGACCTGGTTATGGATAGTGTTGTATCCCTGGATGATTCTCTTTTCCACTGTAATGATGATGACCTTGCATACAGCCATTAACCAATTGTCTCAATTCTTGGAGGCTATCTGTAACACTACTGTGTCTTCTGAACTGCTAAATTAATACATGTGTATAAGAAATAACAATGTGTCTAGTACGATCCTGTAATATAAAGTACTGCGGGTGATTCTGATCCTTCCACGCCACTCGCTTGTTCTATTGCTAAACAAACGTTATGCCACAGATTCCGTATATGCTAGAGCCAGTAGTTTTAATTTTTTGGTGGCACTCTATCAAAAGGGTCGATCAATAGATAATGCAGAATGTCATCTGAAAATAAGAAAAGTACGTTATACATATTCTCACTAGTCTCAAGTCATTCCCTGTTCCCCTTTAAACATGTCTCAGGACTTTGTATGCATAAACAGACAACTTCAGCATACTCGTCTTTAGGGAATCCCCAAAGACACTGATGAATATCATTTCCCATGACATATCAAGCATTGTAAAATCTTCCTTTGATTATTTTAATGTGTTTGGGAATAAACAGAAGACTGAGATCTAGCGAATATGGGTGATGGAATAGTTCTGTGTATACTTTCTTTTCTTCAAAATCTGATTTCTCTAAGCTAATTTGCAGCTGCGTTGTACATGTATGGTACAGGAAAAAAGTACCCGTGTCACCGATATTCGGACTTCCTTTTCTGGAAATCTGTTATTAAACTTTCTTTATGCAATTCAACGTAAAAGTAACCATTGCTAGACCTAAATGGACCTCTTTAAAGACATGAAACTAATAAACATAATTTGAGCTCTTGTTTTTCTGTACCATGAGATTTTTTTCTGATTACATTTTGTGTTTTATTATTTTTCGGCTCTAAAAAGTGCACATATGTTTTGTCATTTATCAAGCACGTTTATCAA